TCAACGTAATAATCAAAGGAAACGATAAATTCGAATACTTGGGGTTTATAATTACGAGAAAGGCAAAAACATAGGAAGAAATTAAGCAAAGATTGGGACAAACAAGAATAGCAATCGGTCAACTTAACTCCCAGTATGGTGGGATAGACACCTAAATATGAAGATAAAAACACAGATTTATCAAACATTAAAGCAAAGTATTATGACATATAACGCTAAAAATAGGATTATAAACAATAAAAACAGCAGTAAGATAGTAGCAACAGAGATGGAATGCCTGGGAAGATGCTACAGAGTAACAAGAATGGATAGGAGAAGTAATGACGAAATAAAGTAAAGAACATCAAAAGAAACAGACATATTAACATATATAGAATAAAAAAGACTAAAGTGGTATGGACATGTAAGAAGAACCAGCGACAGCAGATGGATAAATAGGGTAACCCAATGGAGCCTCATAGACAGAAGAAGAGGACGACCCTGAAGATCTTAGAGGAATGACGTAGACGACGCCATGAGTAAGAAAATCTATCTATATTGAATCTGTATTCACATCAAGTACAGCAGAAGGTATAACTGTGAATGATGTAACCGTGAATAATATTGAATATAATTGATATGAGGTTGAATGCTCGAATAAATGAACTTTGAAAATTAAGGCAATTATATCAAGCACAAGTTTAATCAAATCTTGCCCAAGTACTTTCGCTTAATATAGCATCTTCAGGGGCATTTCGTCAAATATGGGCTATCCAGCAAGCGTAGAATGTAATAAACATAGATGGTAACATAAAATTGTACAAACACTACACTAGAACAAGGACAAACAGTTTAAAGTTAATAAAAAAGTTCTACGCTACATTCTTTGGCGGTAACAGGAGAGAGAATCATTCTCTCTCCTGTTAAATGAGGAACATACCATGCAGCAACGATCTTAGTATTGATCTTCGTGTTCGAATGACACATGCCTATATATTTCCAGTCTCACCGGATGGAGTGGAAGTGTGAACTCTCAGTGAGGCTAGGGTTAAACGTTTGGAAGCCTTTGAGATGTGTTTGAGATTGACTAAAAAAGAGGATGAAAAAAGAAAGAAGAAAATGAGAAAAGAGGACGGCTAAACTAAACAACATTACTGGTCAACATAATAAACTGATGCTAGCTGTAATACTTCGGTCACATTAGTCAAATTATGAGATACCCTGAAAAATATGAACTTTTACATTTGATTATTCAGAGAAAGATTCAAGATAAACGTGGTCCTAGTAGAAGAAGAACATTATGGCCGAAAAATCCAAGACAACGATACGGAAAATCGACTACATCAATATTTAGAATTGCTGTCAACAAAGTCACGATAGCAAATATAATAGCCAACATGATATCCAACGATTGATATGGAACTAGAAGAAAAAGACCTTAAACAATAAAAATCTAATACAGACAATTATAACAAAAACTCCAAAAAGCAGTCTTTGCTTCCTTTCACAAGAATCGCATAAAAACATTACATATTAGAATACTAAGTTTAGTCTAAAAAGGTTACTCAAAAACCAAAAAAAATTACCTTGAAAACACAGCCATTTTTTTATTTGAATACACAGTGACAATCAACTTAAAATGCAAACTAGCCCAGCAAAAAGGATGTGAAGATATTTATAGTTGTAGATTATTTCTATCTAATCTTATTAGTTGCTTTTGCAGCATTTTACATTTTGAAGAGATATTGTTCTTCATTATCTTTAAATAAATACTTTGTAACAAATTAAAAGTACAGTCAAGTTAATAACAATATTTGATTGTGAATCCCAGAAAGCAATGAATAGTGTAGTTTCTTTTAATTTGAAAAGAAACTGCTTATTGGAAGTAAATATTTGTATCAATATGAAGATAATACAATCTTCTATCATTTTGTCTAATTTGGTTGTTTGGCAATCATTTAGAAACACATTTGTTTGTAATCTTGTTAATTTGTCATTGAGACAACAGTCTCAATGACAAGTCCAATTTTTAGACAGCATCTAAATTTTTTTATTTTGGTGTCAACAGAAAATTGTAGTTTTAAACCATTAGGATACGATTGATTGAAATTAAAAAGTATATAATCTATTATACATTTTTATTAAATTAAGTCATAACAAAATAATACACAAAATACAAATAATTCACAAAATGACCAAAGTATACAATAATTTACACTTATGGAGATGTTACCTGATGTTGCATGTTTACTATAAAGTCTGGCAATAAAATAAAATTACTAAGTAAGTGGTAAAATGTAGCCAAAATCACGTGCCCATCATGAATTCTAGGAAATCGATTTCGATCATTAGCGGCGCGTAAGAAAATATGTTTCCTTACTGATTACTTTACAATATAACAATAGAATACTATATTTCTGCTTATAATAATAAAAATTTCTACAGTTCTACTAGTTTATAAAATAAGTTTCACATTAATAATGTGTCGACTTAGCTGATGAGCGCAGGTTAACTATATACCTAAAGATGTAAAGTACTCAAATTAGTATATTCATTTTCTTTCAGAAAGATATTAAATTATTTAGTCTGTCTGCAAGCGCAGATGATTGTATAGTCTGTATGTACATAATGTATTTTAAAAACATGCCAAACCGTGTTTATTTGGATAAAGTTATACATCGAACCATGCATTACATTAATCATATTGTAACAAATAAAATGATCCCCGCAATCGATTTTATGTATTGCGTTTCCGACAGTAATCAGAACAAAACGCAATTATCAAGGTTCGATGTTTATTTCTGAGAAAAATTTAATTCTCTTGAGTGTTAAATAACCGAGAATTCTATTTAATAACGGAATTAATCAATGTCTTGACAATATATTAAAATGTATTTACACAGCAAAATGAAGACAGAACAATCCTAAGATTGTTGCAACTACACAACGATGTAAATAGGGTAAACCACCCAATTGTTGGCAGTGGACACTTTATTTTTAAATATGTAATTAGGGAGCAATTCACTGCAAGGATTTCACAATGATCTGAAAGAATATTTTGTTTGTAAAACTTGTCTTAAACAAATTAATTACTATTTAACTGGGAATAAGCCACAATTAAAGATAACAATACGTTTATTGACGTTTCAATTTCCACTTCGGAAATCGTTCTCAAAATACAAACAGTAAATTAAACAAATTTTGTTTTTTGTTACATAGTGAAAAATTCTTCTAATATTTTAATTTTATCTGACTCATTTATATTGACAATTCAGACATACATTATGCATTTTAAAGTAGACGGCTTTAAAATGATATTGCCAATATTGTTGAGTTGCGCTCCTGGGACGACTTTACTTATAAGATAGTTCATTCGATTACATGAAATCAACTTTAACTTGAGAATATTTGTCAGAAAAAATCATAGCATGTAATTCGTCTTTAAAAAGACAAACATATGACATGATGACAGTAAAATTCTCCTGTTAGTGATTCCATAGTAAATTATGAGGAAAAAACCAGGAAAAAAACCTCATAATACTATCCCGACATTGTAAGTATTTGTTCGTGAATTTAGTTTACCTTCAACAAACATCAAAATTCTGATTTTATATGTTACGTTATTTAAAAGACATAAATGATGTATCCTCTATATGTTACTGACTTACTAATACTGTTACTTTCTTATTAATAACTTCCTCTTTCAATATTGGTAACCAGATCCTACTACATTCTGCCGAGGAATTTGCGACACATTTGGCCTCATTTAGCATAATTAGAGCCGCTTCTTTGATTTTTCTTTTTTTACCATCCGTTTCTTTTAGGACTATATTTGAATTATTCCATTGAACCGTATGTTCATTATCCCATGCGTGTTTACATATTTGAGATCTATCAAATTCTCTATTTTTATTATAAGATAGATGTTCACTTATTCTAACATTTAATGGCCTTGATGATTCACCTAAATAAAACTGATCGCATTCACAAGGTATTTTATAAATGCAATTCTTTGTCCTTTCTTGTTCATTGTTAGGTTTGGTTTTGGACAAAATAGATCTCAACGTGTTTGTTGTTTTGAATGGAAATAAATTCAATATTTCAAGAACATTCAAAACAACAAACCCGTTGAGATCTATTTTGTCCAAAACCAAACCTAACAATGAACAAGAAAGGACAAAGAATTGCATTTATATAATACCTTGAGAATGCGATCAGTTTTATTTAGGTGAATCATCAAGGCCATTAAATGTTAGAATAAGTGAACATCAATCTTATATTAAAAATAGAGAATTTTATAGATCTCAAATATGTAAACACGCATGGGATAATGAACATAGTGTTCAATGGAATAATTCAAATGTAGTCCTAAAAGAAACGGATGGTAAAAAAAGAAAAATCAAAGAAGCGGCTCTAATTATGCTAAATGAGGCCAATTGTGTCGCAAATTCCTCGGCAGAATGTAGTAGGATCTGGTTACCAATATTGAAAGAGGAAGTTATTAATAAGAAAATACCAGTATTAGTAAGTCAGTAACATATAGAGGATACATCATTTATGTTTTTTAAATAACGTAACATATAAAATCAGAATTTTAATGTTTGTTGAAGGTAAACTAAACTAAATTCACGAACAAATACTGACAGTGTCGGGATAGTATTATAAGGTTTTTTTCCTGGTTTTTTCCCTCATAATTTACTATGGAATCACTAACAGGAGAATTTTACTGTCATCATGTCATATGTTTGTCTTTTTAAAGACGAATTACATGCTATGATTTTTTCTGACGGATATTCTCAAGTTAAAGTTGATTTCATGTAATCGAATGAACTATCTTATAAGTAAAGTCGTCCCAGGAGCGCAACTCAACAATATTGGCAATACCATTTTAAAGTCGTCTACTTTAAAATGCATAATGTATGTCTGAATTGTCAATATAAATGAGTCAGATAAAATTAAATTATTAGAAGAATTTTTCACTATGTAACAAAAAACAAAATTTGTTTAATTTACTGTTTGTATTTTGAGAACGATTTCCGAAGTGGAAATTGAAACGTCAATAAACGTATTTTTATCTTTAATTGTGGCTTATTCCCAGTTAAATAGTAATTAATTTACAATGCCACAAGAAAATAGCTTCAGAACAACAACTTGTATAAAAAATATTGTTCTTGTAAAATTTGTTTTTAAAAAATATATAAATAAACGACACTCTGTTTTTCGTAAGTAGTTATGTTTTAGATTTGTTTTCAATGCTCAATCAATATTTTGATATAAAAATTATGCCAATTACTAGGTATCACTGATTGATTACACTGCCAATTTACACATGCCAACAACTACAATATAACTTCCAATAACTCCAATAACCTATTTTTGCATTATTTATAATATTTATAATAAAATGACATTTATTTGTGTTCAGTAATAATAGTAAATAATAAAAAAATTCAAAATATCCCCTATGATGTTACCTATATTAGCAAATCTAATGTTTAAACAACTCTTTTTCTTAAAGTGCCAATAACTGGGTGGTTTACCCTACTTTCATTTTATAAGCGTCAATAAAAAACCAAAAATTCTGCCAAAGGAAGAACTGGAATACAAAGTAAACGTTAAACTTGCATGACATGCAAAATGACATGAAAGAGAACATGGCCCCTTGTTCATACCAGACAATTTCAGTGGCAACATTTATCTCGATATGCTGGAAAACACCATCGAACTTGTAATTGTGCATGAATTAGAAAACCAAAGGGACGATCAAGGTAACCTGCCTCTAGACGAATATTTGCTGCACTTCCAATGAGATGGAGCACCTCCTCACTACGCAGCTCCATTTAGGCACTGGTTGGATACTAATTATCCGAACACATGGATTGGAAGGAGAGGTCCTATTGAGTGTCACCGAGGTCATCAGACTTACCACCACCTGACTTTTGTCTATGGGGTTCAACCTCAAGTCAGTTGTTTATCAAACTCCACCTTCGTCACTTGTGGAATTGCGAGAAAGGATTACGCAAGCATGTTGCGCTATGACTAGAACAACATTTGCCAAAGTTCATGCATAATTTGAAAATAGGCTGTATTATTGTTTACAAAACAACGGAACCCACTTTGAACATTAACTTAATTGACATTTTTAACAAATTTGTAGTTCAACAAAACCTTATTAAATTTTCCATTTAAGCCAAATTTTCACAATTATTGCTTCACCCTGTATAATTATTATTTGCACCATTGGATAGCATTCTTTATAGTCTTCAATGATGTATCACAAGTAATGGTTTGCAATTTAAACTTTTTTGGTTGTGGTGGGTGGAGTCTAGATGGTTTATGGGCGTGAGTTAGTTCTCTTTCATATCATTTTGGTTCTCCCTTACTATCCTATATATTTATTAAAAATTTTAAGTTGAGTAATTGAAGATATAGCTTAAGTTTCAGTCATCATAACTTTTTACATGGTGCATGTCTCTAAAAGCTGCACATAAATAGAAAGTTTGAATCTATTTTAATAACTTAATATTGAAAATACTGAAACAAACTATCTTTTTCATTAAATTAACAAGCATTAACAACTAGCTTATCATCCTAGCAAAATCAACAAGCACATGCATGGCCAGTACGCAATATTGTGTTATTTACATGCTTTGATGGCGGGCGCTGGGGTATTTAAAATTTTCGATAAATATTCATAGATGGCACTCATGATGCATATGTATGACATTAATTAATGCTAATTTTCGGTTGGTAAAAGAAACGAAAGAGGTGATAGACTAGTCCAGTACATAAAAAATAAAAAAACTTACAGGCAACACCAGACAAAGAAGAACACTCATAACAAGAGATAATATTAAAGGAATACTTAATAAAGTGAACAAAATAAAGAAAGTATGGGAACAATATATAATCCATCTGTTCCATGACGAGAGGGAAAATGAGCAAGATATGGGTGAAGAAGAACAGTACCTGAAATGTTACCCTCAGAAGTAAAACATGCCCTACAGAATTCAAAACAAGAAAAAGCACCGGGTCCTAATCAAATTCCAGTTGAACTGTTAAAAGCCTTAGATGACGGTAATATAAACAGACTCACCCGAATTCTCAACCACATATATGAAGAGGGCAATATCCCAGAGGAATGGCTTAAATTGATATTTTTACCTCTACCAAAAAACAACAATACCAAATCATGTAATGTTTAGAAGACAGAAACCGACACTGAATATTAGACATAAATGAACAGTTAAAAGAATGGGAAAACTACATTTCTGAATTATTTGAAGATGAGAGAGTAGAACACTATACACCGATTGCTATATCAGGTCCATCTATAACAGAAAGTGAGGTTACACGTTCAATACAAATGGCAAAAAATGGAAAAGCACTTGGCCCCGATGAAGTAAGTGCTGAAATAACAAAGTTTTTGGGAGAAAATGGAATTAAAGCTCTGTGTTATTTCCTTAACAGAATTTATGACACTGGGATATTGCCAACTGACTGGTTAAAGTCGACATTTGTCACAATACCTAAGAAACATCGTTCAAAGACATGCTGTGATTATCGGACATTAAGTTTGATGAGTCACGTTTTGAAGATCTTCCTGCGAGTAATACACAGCAGAATTTACACGCTGTTAGACAGAATTAGCAATACTCAATTTGGGTTTGGGAGTGGCTTAGGTACAAGAGAAGCATTGTTTAGTATACAGGTGCTAGTACAGAGATGCAGAGATATAAATCTAAATGTGTACATTTGTGCAATCGATTTTGAAAAAGCTTTTGACAAAGTCAGACATAACAAAATGCTAGAAATATTGGAAACAGCTGGATTGGACGATAAAGACCTACAAATAATTACAAATCTATACCGGCATCAAGTGGGAGGAATAAAGGTTGAACAAGAACTGTCGGACGAAATAAATATAAAAAGAGGAGTGAGGCAAGGCTGTATATTGTCGCCTTTACTTTTTAACCTAGAACTTACTTTACCTAGAAACGTACTTTGCGTTCACAATCTTAGCATTGACCTTAGAGTTCTAATAACATCTTGCTACATCTTTCCTGTCCTGCTGTATGGAGTAGAAGCGTGGACTCTAGCTGAGGCTATCCTTAAACGCTTGACAGCTTTTGAGATATGATATGGGTATACAGACGACTACTAAAAATAAGCTAAGTCGACAGAGTTAGATATGAGGGGGTCCTTAGACAGCTCAACCAAACAACACAACTGGTCAATATAATAAAGAAACGTAAGCTGGAATACTTCGGTCACATTATGAGACACTCTAAAAAATATGATCTACATCTGATCATTCAGGAAAAGATCCAAGGTAATCGTGGTCCTGGTAGAAGAAGAACATCATGGCTGAAAAATCTAAGGCAATGGTATGGAAATTCAACTACATCGTTATTTAGAGCTGCTGTCAATAAAGTCACGATAGCGAATATGGTAGCCAACATGATATCCAACTATCGATAACGGTCATGGAACTAGAAGAAGAAGAAAACGATTGTCTTCTTTAGTTTAAACACATGTTCTGAATATTATCTAATTATACTGGATTAACTACAAATTACAGACCTTTAAAAATATTAACAAAATAGTTGAAAACACTCTGTACATACACATATCTATACACACATAATGTTATCCTTACTGTATACTATTTGTGTCTAAAAGTTCAACGTGTTCCTTAGAGAAAAGATTTTTTTTGTTGTAACTGAAATATATTTTAACAGCTTTAAACGCTACTAAAATTGTTAAGAGAACAATTATTATAGACAACATTGAAAGCATAGGAGAATAGTTATTTCTTTGATGTTCAGAGTTACTATGCAAATATTCAGCAGTACTATGATCTTTTTGTTTAATATCATCAAATTTTGCATTTAAATTTTCAAAGTACTTATAAAATGTGCTATTTTTAAAGCCTTTATTAAAGTAGTTAAACATGCTGCTATTTTCAAAAGAATCAATGAAATCATCCTTGGATTTTTCTAGTTTAGTCAAATATTTGACAAGATAAGTACCGTTGAAATCGTTGTTGAAGTAGTTGTAAAGACTTCTGTTAAACTCTCTGGTTGAATTTTCGTTTGCTTTCAAACTTTCCAGATATTTATAGAACAAACTGTTTTTAAAATCTTGATTGAAGTACTTTAACATGTCAGTACCATTAAAATTTAGCGTACTAATATTTTTCAGTCCTTCCAGGTACTTATAAAAGTTGCTGTTCTTGAAATCTTTGTTAAAATAATCGTACATGAGGCTTCTGTCGAACTGAAGGTTCTCGGATTTTTCAAGCTTTGCTGAAATTGTTGTCTCCAAATATTTTATAACATCCTCTTTAAGCTTTACATCAGGATTTACTTCTGGTAATGTTTCTTCTTTGCAAGCAATGCCGTGAATATTTGATCCTATAGTTGCTGTACCTTTAAACACTTTATTTTTAAAATCATGAATTACTTCTACCAAATTTTCACAAGTAAAATCATTACTATCTATGTTTATGATGTTAAATCCGTGAATATCGCTCAATAGTTGTTTGCTATTAATGTTGGTGATTTTATTGTTATTGATGTATATAGATGTTAGTGCCGACAATGAGTGCAAGTATCTTTTAAGAGTCGTAAGCTTGTTATACGACAGATCTAAACTTTGCAAAAGATTTAAATGATCCAGTACTCCATAATTCAAGTAACTTATCTTATTATGTGACATGTTTAAAAATGACAAGTGTGTTAAATTTACAAATAGGTTAACAGGAATAAAGGACAGATTATTTCCCGCTATACTTAACCATTCCAATTTGATTAGTTTTGAAACATTCATTATGTATTTTTCATTGAGCAAATTATTACTAACATCCAAAGTTGTTAAAGATTCACTCAATGAGCAAGGGTCGGCAAGTAAATATTTGATTTCATTATTACTAGCATTAAGATTATGTAACCCTGAAAGGCATACATTAAAAAATGGCAACTTATTATTTGAAACATCTAAAGTAATAATCTCGCCGTTAAACTTACTCAAATTTATAAAAGAAATATTATTATCACTTAAATTTAACATCTTAAAGTAATTGTTTTGGCCTAACGCTACACCATCAAAAGATTTTAAAGCATTTTCTGCAAAATTTAATGACGATAAGTGAATAATGCCTGTCAAAAAATTGGGATTTATGCTGTTGATCTTATTTTTAGATAGATCAAGAATTTGCAGTTGAACTAAAGAGTTGAATATTCCTTGAGATATATTTACTATTTGGTTGTTATCTAAATCTAGTTGCTCTAAATTATGAAGACCGGCAAAAGCACCAGGCTGTATAGTATTGATAAAGTTTCCTGATAGTTGTAAATATGTCGTGGAGGGTACTTTTAAAAATGCTGCAGGTGTTACATCAGAAATATTTGAATCTGAAATCTCTATTTCGGTACAACCATCACAAATCATATCTTGAAAAGGAAGACGAACATCTTCACAACTAGCATACTTCTTTATCCTATAAAATAGTTCACCGTACTCATTATAACTTGGATCGTCATCTTGATATTCATATGTGTCACAGAATGCACTGCAGATTTTAACATTGGATACAAAAAAAACTGCTCCAGTAAAAGTTAACCATCTGGAAAGGATTTAAGTGTTATTTTGTTAGTTACAATACCTCGACTGATTCATTTAATGTTACTACTAATACAGTAGAAAGTAAATAGCTTTTTACTGTATCTTAATTCAACTTTAAAAGTTCACCCAAAAAGTTTAGAAAACAAGTTGTTTAAAACTTTATTCATATATAAAGAATGTTCAAAAGGTTATCGAAATCCCATATAAAGAACGTGCCTCCTAGTGCCGGATTACGGGCAATAACATATAGAGTAGTCTTGACAGTAGCGATCCTGTTTTGTACAGAAAATTTTAATCTGAGTGTAGGGTAATACTGTACTTTAGTTGTATTTGAAGTGTTTTTGCAAGACCATACTGTACATAATACTGATAGAAACGGTTTTCAAAACTGACATCAAACCTTCGTTAGATGTTTTAGCGAGGACTACTTCAAGCAAAACATAACTACAAATTAAAAAAATCGAGATAGGAGCTTGTATTATTGAAAGTCTAACACGTACGAGCAAAGTTGATTAATGTGCCTAAAGAAAAATAGAGAATAAAATATTTTCATTTAAGAAACGAAGTGGGAAAGAAAAAGAGAGACACAACTAGATGAAGGATATAAATTGTGATATATAGGGAAATATAGCTCTAAGAACAATTTCGTATAATTGTATAATATAATAAGTATGTTATAATATAATTTTATATCCCGAAACTTGAAATCCGAAAGATTTCTAATTCTCGAAACCAACTTCAACATTTTGCTTTAATCTGTGCCTTCTAAGAATTGCAAGGCAAAACCGACGTTGATAAAGATGCTATCACAAACAACTACTCTATCATGAATACTCGATTTAAACACCATGTACGTCGACTTTATACTTGGAAAAGTCCTGGAGATAGATTTAGAAATCAAATAGATTACGTACTCACCAATATTCGCTGGAGATCGTCCATTCAAACAGTCAGATCATATCCAGGGGCGATATGCGGATCCGATCAGACTCTCCTCGTAGCTAAAGTAATGCTTAAACTTAAAGCACCCAACAAACAAAGAGAGATAAAGAGGATAGAACTAAGAAAGAAAGACGACCTTCTACAGGAAGTACAGAAAAGTATGCCCTCTATTCGTAACGGAACATCACAAGAAATATGGGAGACTGTTAAACATTGCATAACAACACCAGTGGATCGCTCAAAGAAAAATAATCCGGTGAAACGGAAACACTGCATAACAGATGAAACTCTTAAAATAATTGAGAATAGAAGAAATCCTTGTAAAAGTGGTATACATAGTGAAATAGAAAAAGCTAGTTTAAGAAACCTCAATAAAGAAATAAAACGAAGATGTAAGGCCAACAAAAAACAGTACTATCAAAGTATATGCAAAGAAATTGAGAGACATGGTCAGAATAATCAGCCGAGAGATCTATTTAGAAAATACGCTACCTGACAAGAGACTTCAGAGCCAAAACTTGGGCCATTAAAAATAACACTGGAACCCTGAGAACAAACAGAGAAGACATAGCAGAGACATGGAGATCGTATTGCAGGGGCCTATATAAAGATGATCAACGTCAAGAGCTTGTTAGCCAAATCTCTGACGAGGTGGAAGAAGAACCTGATATACTCGAAAATGAAGTAAGACAGGCTATCAACAAGCTCAAATATAACAAAGCACCAGGTCCAGATATGATAACAGCAGAAATGATTAAAGCCACAGAAGAAACCGGCGTAAAGTTACTTCATCTACTCTGTAACCAAATATGGCATTCCAAACAATGGCCTGAAGACTGGACAAAATCTACAATAACGACCATACATAAAAAAGGCAGCTTCCATAAATGCGACAATATAGAACTATCTCTCTTATATCCCATGTCAGCAAGATAATGCTACATATGATCAATGAGAGACTGAAAACATTCCTTCAAAGAGAAATTCCACAAGAGCAAACTGGATTTACCAAAGGTAGAGGCACTCGAGAACACCTGCTGAATATAAGACAGATAATCGAGAAATCTAGGGAATTCAACATCCCACTATAAATCTGTTTTATAGATTACCGTAAAGCGTTCGACAGTTTCATCCAGAACGGGGTGTCAGACAAGGATGTATACTATCTCCAAAATTATTCAACATATATGGAGAGTATATTATGCGAAGAGCACTTGAAGGATGGAAAAAGGGCATCTCAATAATTGGTCATAAACTAAACAACCTACGTTTCGCAGATGACACAGCCCTTGTTGCAAATAGTCAAGCAGAGCTGATAGAACTTATACGACTGATCGAAAACGAAAGTCAAATATTTGGTCTGCAATTAAACATATTAAAGCCAAAGATCATGATAGTGGATAGACTACACAACAATCATCCACACATAACCACAATTGACCGGTTCGAGGTTGTGAGCTCATACTTATATCTGGGATCATTAATCACAAACACAGGGTCATTACAAGAAGAGATTAAACGTAGATGTGTTCTAGCAAAAGTTGCCACATCAAAAATGACCAAAATATGGAAGGAATGTCAAATTAAAAGAGCGATAAAGATGAGGTTGATCAACTGCTTAATATTCCCACTACTGACCTAGGATGTGAATCTTGGACTCTGAGACAATCGAAGAGAAGAAAGATAGACGCCACTGAAATGTTCTGTTGGAGACGAATGTTACGAATTCCTTGGACCGACCGCAGAACAAATAATTCAATTTTAAGAGAGCTAAAAGTTAGCCAACGACTCTCTAGTAAAGTCCATCTCCAACAATTAAAATATTTTGGGCATGTTATGAGAGCAAACACAGAAAACATGGAAAGACTCATAATACAAGGAAAGGTAGAAGGCCGAAGATCACGAGGAAGATCCCCAACAAGATGGATAGATCAAATTACAGGAATATGCCAAAGACCTATGCATGAATTAAAAGAAATGACCAGAGACAGAGATCTCTGGAGAGGGACAATACACGACATCACGTCGACCACTACACTCCCCCTGAGGGGTCAGGATTGAAGAGAGAGAAAGATGCTATTAGAGACATGGAGAATCTAAAATTGGCATTCCACAACATATCTCCTCAACTAAGCAAAACATTTTTAGAGAATTGGTTTCTAGTACTCGTACACAGTAAATCGGAATAAAAAGGAAAAAGACAGTTAAGATTTAATTTCACGTATAATGCGTCTGTATATCCGCTCATACGTATTTCTTCCTAAAAGGAATCTGCTGAGTGGCTAGTTACAGACGCTCTGAACGTGAAAACAATATTTTCTGTCGTAATAGAAGCAACACTAAAATGGCTTCGATATGGACGCAATAGCGTCCATATCGATAATATGATAATAAATCCCGAAACTCGAAATCCGAAGATTTCTGATTGTCAAAACCAATTTCAGATTTTTGCTTTAATCTGTGCCTTCTAAGAATTGTAAGGCAAAACAGACGTTGATAAAGATGTAATTAGGGACATGGAAAATCTAAAATTACATTCCACAACATATCTTCTCAACTAAGCAAAAATCCTTGGCGAATTGGCTTCCAGTACTCATAAAGAGTATAGACAGTTAAGAGAAAAGACAGTTAAGATTTGATTTTACGTATAAGTCCCAGAATAACTTTTTTTTTTCTTTTAAATTCGTATAAAAATTAGTATAATAGTCCAGTTGTCAGAGAGTTGACCACTAAAAATCATACGAACAATCTGAATTTTGCGGAGAATAATAACTAGGACGATTTGCAAGGGGATAAAAACACAAAAAAATCAATTTACGAAGAATCTGTACACCGTAGAAAAAATCTTTTAAATAAAAAAGCTGAGCTAATTGTATATAAGTATTTTTGTGTAGCAGCAACAACGCCTGAAGCGACCATCGATTTTCCATATCAGTTACGCGTGCGAAATCAATGTTCAATAAAATATATATCAGTGGGACGGTAAAAATTCGATATCATTTGATCCAAATGTCCTATCGACAAACGTGAAGCTGCGTTTTAAAGGCAAAGAGTTAAGATTTTGTATGCAGTGTTTGCATTTTGCCGAGAATAAACTTGGTTTTTATAAAGGTGTTAAATACATTTTCGTGGCGAAATTTTTGCAATTTTTTACGATTCTCATGAGATCGATAAAATTGATCAATCTTATTGACTAGTTGTAGTAAAATTTGCATTTTCAGAGATCAAGCTTTAAAACCTATGACATTAAATTTCAATTTTGAGTTGTGGTAACAAATACGAGGCATTTGAAATATGAATAAAAAACGCAGAATTTAATGTTTTACATTACAAATGATCACACGTCACAAGAAATGCATTTAAGAAGACTGTTTTGGATGTAGTTTATTGGAGAAGTTTTGTTCTGTTAAAAAAAGTTACTAGTGTAATTGAAAAAAAATTTAATATTTTAGATCGCTTGTTGTGTGAAAATTTAAATTCAGCGTTTTTTAAGCATATTTCAAATGTCTCACATTTGTTGCCAAAACTCAAAGCCAAAATAGGTTTTAAAAGTCAGGCTTTAGTAATCGAAACTTCATAGTGGCCAGTCAACGAAAGGAATAACTTGTATTGGTCTCGTAAAAATCGTAAAAAATTGCAAAAATCGCGCCACGTTTATTTATTTAACACCTATATAAAATCTGAGTTTATTTGCGGCAAAATACAAAAGCTGTATACTTCATCTAATACATCTTGACTTTTGTCAATAGGCCACTTGAATCAAAAGATATCGAATTTTTACCGTCGAGCTGATACAAATTTTATTCAACATTGATTTCGCGCGCGAGACTGACATGCAAAATCGACTGTCGCTTCAATCGTTGTTTCTAAGAGAACGGTTCATTCTACACAAAAAAAAATGTTTATAATAATTTTGTTTAAAATTATATCGCTACATTTTTTTTATTTGAAATATTTTTCTCTACGATGTACAAAATCCAAAATCGATTTTTTTGGCCCGCGGTAAAAGTGGTAAAATTTTTTGCATCTTTTTTGGCTTTAAAAATAACAGGAACTGTG